CTTTCTCACCCGAACCACCACCCACCCATTCCCACGATTCCTGAAAGCAGGCTGAAGAGGGCCTTCCGCCCTACCTTCCGGCATAGTCCGGAGGGACTGCCCGCCCACCAGCATTACTAGCTGGTGGGAATGAAACACCCAAAAAGTTTTTTTAAAAAGTTTCACAACATTAACATCATTCATCTTGCTATTCATAATTCATTACAAAAGTCGCTGTCTTAAACAATCAAATTATTGGTCAATCTTATCTCTTTCTATCTAGTTAGTTTTCATTTCGACATAAGTATCCACGGTAGTTTAAGTTTTGTATTTATTTGTATATATCCGTATTTTTTAAGTGAATTAAATTCTTTAAACCATTTAGAAGAGTTGATTCATTTTAATGTGGTACAGCAGTACACCGGAAGAGCCATCAAACACGTGCTTTTCCTTACACATCTTTTGCGAAATGATATTGAAACCGTTCTTAAATTTTATAGAGCTAACAGTACTTCAGTGCTAGATCAATTTGAGGAACTTCAGATAAAAATAAATGTGGATGAGTTTGATAGTGTAGAATACAATAATTTCGAAAATCTGTATTTTAAGTCAATTAGTTATGCACAGGATCTTTTACAGACAAACAAGATGGTAGTTAGATTAGAAAATAATGTAACTATATTTAATGATGAGGATATGAATATTCCAAATACTGTAAGAAGGTGTCCAAAGGTTTAATCATATCCTTTTGTTAGTTCAAATCAACAAAAATTAAACAATAAGCATACATCGAATTTCATTAAAAAACAAGTTTTTACAGTACCAAAAAGGGTTAATTCAAGTTCAGTTTGCAAAGGATATAAAATTCGAGAGAGTGAAAGGTTTGTGAAAGTTAAGGTAAATAAGGAAAGGGTTCAATTATTTCAATGAGGAATGCACGTGGACAGAATGTCGAGAATGTAGTAAGTTAATTCATTTCAGTACTAGGCTACATATTAGGATAAATTGTAAGATTACAAGTGACAGAAGTACTTCTGATTCCAAAGTTTAAAATTGAAACACCAGTAAATCAATCGATTAAAACAAAAATTAGATCTAAACACAAACATAAGGAAAACGTTAAAACTACAATTGTATCTTACATAGGTGAAAAATTGCCCGATTCTTTTGTCAATAGACAATTAGTACCCGTTCTACAAAACCATAACTCTGATTTTAAAGGTAAATTAAATTTTAGTGATAATCTAGGTCTAAGCGAAATTAGTGAAGTGGTAAGGGTAAATTTAAAATTAATTCAAAGGGAGAGTTTTAGTGTTGATATTATTGTAATGTTCGTGGGTTCAACAAATTAAATTTTAAGAAGAAAACTATTTATTTACACTAATTATTATTGAAGGACTTAAAAACACTATTAACTTATTACTAGACTTAGGTAATTATTCTATTTATTTACACTACTGTTACTATTCACTGTTCTATTTATTTCACTTCTATCACTTTCAATTTATCTCTTGATTCACCTCTGCAACGGTCAATTTATTTCTACTCTACTCCGGCGATCGTCTCTTCCTTTTTATACTCCCTTGC